CGGTGGGTTTGGGCTGTGTTTGGGGTTTCACGTTGTGAACGTGAACTCTAAAAGCACACACTGGCAGCTTTCTGCCACGCAGTCCCTAGCAAAGCTGCCCCTCTTCCCCAAAGCCCTTCAGCAGCTTCAGCTGTCAGCTCAAGGTGCAGGAGGGCTGCATCCTGCCCAAGGCACCAAAAATGCCTGGTCAGAGCTGAAAGGTTTTAGCTGTCACTCAGAGCCAGGCTGAGCTCTCCCTTGGCTCCTGCCCGGAGCAGCCTGCTCCTTCCCACCTCTTTGGAGAGTGTTTTCGCCAAACTGCACAACTGAGGTTTTTGTGCTGCGGATAAATCTGGCACCACGCAGCCCAGTGACATTATTTAGAACTGGATTTGAGTTACTACAGTCTCACATACACACATTCGCTTCATGCATAACATAAAGCAGAGAAGTGTCACAGCGCAGTGCTCAGACACACCGCTCGATATGTTAATCCTCGCGTCCTGGAAATATGCTTTCTTTTTTTTAAATGCCTGTTTCCCCAGCCAATTTGGCACCCGGCTTCAGATGGGATCCAAATGAGATTAGCTTTGCTGCTGGCTAAGTACAAACTACTCCAGGACTGTCTCAAGCTCTCTGTCCCTGACACACGCTGGAGGAGAACATGGATTTCTGTAAAACAAGCCACTGGTTCCCACTGGCAAGGCACGGGGCACAGTTACACCCGCTATGCTCACCACGAGCCACGCTGCAGCCCCCTCCATGCACCATGAACCGTGGCAGCTAGGGGACTCGCTCCCAAGCCACCCCAGCTTGGAGACCAGCCCCGGCTCCCTGAGGAAGAGGCACTGATTTGGTTGTTTCCATTGGTTTACACTTGCGAGCGACACTCCAGAGCACTGACCATGCCTGGAGATGAGCTCAGGGACACAAACCCTTTCACAGGCTTTCCCAAGCAAACCAACAAGCTGAAACAGGAGCAGCACCGCACTACCCCAAACTGTCTTCCAAGTGTTTAGGGATCTGCTTAAGGCACAGTAGGAAAAGGTTCAATTCTCTGCATGGCACAGAGAAATTACAAGTGAGGAAGGGAAGTTTATAGGGACATAATTCATGTGTGAGGTGGGGTCTGCCCTGGGTCGAAAAGGCTTCCAAGGACATAGAGCTGGGAGGACCTGAGCCACAGGCTCCTGCCCTATCTCAGTGGGCAATGCCAGCACCTCATATACAGTCAAAGGCCCCATGAGTGGCCTCCCTACCCTGGAGAGGACCCAGGGCTTCATTTTAGGGAAAAAAATTTCTTGATGCACGTTGGTCACTGCAGCCAGTGTCCTGCAGGGCAGAGCCTCAGGTGGCCACAGAGGAGCTCAAATCGGGAAAGGAACGGAGCAGGTCAGGCACTTGCTTAGCCCGGCGCTGCCAGGCCAGCCCCGCCGGGACCTACCTCGGACCACTCGGACATCTCCCACTGCGGCCCACAGGCCGGGTTCCTGCAGACCTTGCGCTCGTCCGGCCGCGCGATGTCAGCGGACTCGCAGAGGTCACTGTAGACGGAGCTGTCAAATCCTGGAGAGATCATCTTCCAGCAGCGGACAATGCGGAACTGGTATCCCTCCCCGCAAGTGCGGGAGCACTCGCTCCAGCTGCTCGTCTCCCACCTGTGGGGGCAAGAAAGGCTGGACCACGGCCAGAGCATCCCACAGGATATCCTGCCTGCTCCCGGCTGGAGGCAGATAGCTGCAGTAGCAACGAGTTGTAGTCAGGCTGCCCGTGTGCAAGAGGTTTTCCCATGGGATGGGATCTGTTATCATAGAATCATCATAGAATCACAGACTGGTTCGGTTGAAGGGACCTTAAAGCTCATCCTGTTCCCACCCCCTGCCACGGGCAGGGACACCTTCCACTAGAGCAGGTTGCTCCAAGCCCCTGTGTCCAGCCTGGCTTTGAACACTGCCAGGGATGGAAGTGTTTGTTGGTGGTTTCACCCAGCAGACCTGAACTCATGCCCACAGTGGCAGATGCTAAAACCAGAGAGGAAGGAGGCACTGGCACAGTGGGGCACAGACCGGTGCCCTCGCTGCCTGGTGCCTGTTACCACAGGCTGCACATTCCTCAGCCAAAACCCTGTGTGTGCAGCATGTTTCTTTGCTGTGCTTACAGCCCATGTTTGCCCTCTCCTTTTTGCCTGACCTGCTGAAGTAAGATGAGGACATGATCATCCATCATCTTGCAGATCCCAGCAATAATGTCACACAAAGCTGTCTGAGCCCTGGTTGGACAGAAATTCATGCACCACTGTCAGTCTAATCCTGCTAATGTCATGATGCAAGAGCTGGGATCTGCTCTGAGACACTATCAGCCCCATACTGTCCCCTGCCACAACTGTCCTGATGTTACAAGAGGGAAACAGCTTGTAAACCAAGAGGAAAGACATAAAAAGTCAAGGTTTTTACAGTACAGTAATGTTTTAGCAATTCTGAATTAAAGAATAAGCTGAAGATGTAAAAATCTAATTGGCTCAGAATTCACGGCCTCTCTGGACACGGGGCCACCCTGTTGCCACTGAGCAGGACAGACTCGTCCCCACTGCATACATGGGGCTCTGGGCACAAGCAGCAGCCACAGGGAGAGGTCACACATTTAGAGGTGTCACCTAAATCCAGAAGGGACATGAAACCAAAGCTCATCCAGATGAGGCAAGAGTTTTGCTCTTTCCCAGTACGTTCTGCTGGGAAAGCATCAGCAGCTTGTGCAGCATCCCGCTGCTCAAAGGCTATGAATGTGCTTGGCTGCCCCTGGCAGCTCCTCGGTTTACCCACCACCAAGCTGCCATCACTGGTGATCATGGAGCAGATCTTCCCTCTTACAGTGCAAGGCCATGGAGCAGGAATAGCACAACCATAAGAAGCAGCTTTATAAAACACCAGTGGGATAATCTAAACATGAGAAGAGCCCTAATGCTTGTCCTAAAAAATTACAAAGTTAATGCAAGTAGAGGTGAAGCTCCCCATGGTGTCTACAGGGCTCCCAGCAGTAGCACCATCTACCTCCCAGCACTTCTCTTGCCTCAACGGCAGCCCACCCTGGCTCTCAGCAAGATCATAACTGCAAAGAGCACGTGCTTTCCTTCTTGGTCCTCCTTCACAATTACCTGAGGCAAAAGTATGCCCTCTCTGGGTGCCATTCCTGGTCCCTGGCATCACTGTAGCCTTGATTTGCAGTGTTAACAAGTGACACCATTCCGGTGCATGCACCAGGCAGCTTTACTTCTCCCCCTGCCCTGTGCATAGTCTGACACCATTGCAGTCATCCTTGCTTCAGCAGACATTGGTCTCTCTTATGTATAGTTGCTGATGCTGCAAACCTCCCAGCCAGCACAGCCCATGTTACAGACCAGCAGCAGGGTGGCTTTTCAGGCAAAGAGCCACATCAGAAGGGAAATATTGTGCGGGACTTCCAGCAAGGGTTCCCCTCTGCACCAGCTCTTGCCCTGATACAAGCAAACCTCAGAGATGCTTAGGATGCTGAAAGGACCAGAGGGCCAGATCTGTGGCACAGTTTGCAAGCCCAGCCTCTCCACCCAATTCGCACATGTGCTCCTCCAGGCACCGGCCAGGCAGGATGCTGCCCAATGTTAGAACCCAAACTTGCTGGGAACCCATGTGCAAACTCTGTTGGGATTTATGGAAGTTTTAACCTGACAGCTGGAGCTAAAGCACCCAGGAGGGAAGGAGCCCAGGGAGAGCCCAGACAGATACAATGGGGTGCTACAGGCCATCCCTGCTGCCCCACCACCAAATCCACACCGACCCCCTCCCCAAGTACATCCACAGCAGAGGAAGCGTGGAGCCCCCCAGGAGCGCCCTGTCGAGGCGGTACCTTGGCTGGCACTCTCTCCCAGCACAGAACTCATGAATGGGCTCGGGACGGGTCATGGCATCACAGTAAGTCTCATCCACTTCGATCCCATCATAGCGAACACACATTGCATATGTGGACATCACTCCTAGTTTCAAAGAGAACACACACACACAACAGAGGACGCTTTGTGATTTTGACATCCAAACTTTTTTTTTTTTTCTCTTTTTCTTTTGAGCAGCATTCCAAAACTTCCTCCCAGTGGAAAGCAGCAAGCAGGGCTTTCTGGCCCGCGGGATGGATGCTGCTGGGAGGGGAGGACTGCTACGGTCACCCAGCCAACATGGGCAGTGCGGTTGAGCTTGGCTGCCTCTGCAGGCAGGCACAGCAGCCCCTGCCAGGGCTTGCCACCAAGATCAATACGTGACTAACTCGGTTTTATAGGAAATGCTCGGGGCAATGCGTCTGCTGGGCAGCTCCCACCCTGCCCGGGTCGAGGGTGGAGGCGACAGCAAGCAGTCCCCAGCCCGCTCCAGCCACTAGCTCTCTATGTGCGGTACACCCCGCTTGCGCCCGGGTCCTCCCCAGGGGCACCCAGCACTGTGGGCTCCCAGGGCTCTGCAAGGAGGCACCTCCTGCTCCCCCCGAAGGCAGCCAGTGTCGTCAGACCGAGACCTTTTTCCCCGCAGCCTGCCGTGCCAGAGTAAATGTTGTGAAGTCCATTCTGAGACCTGGCTGGGGACCAGGAGGCTGCTCTGGCTACAGGTAACAAGAATTGCAGCTCTTGGGAACATATGGTTTACATGAAACTAAAAAAAGATCCACAGCTCTTGACATGGCATTGCTTCTCCATGATATGTCATTAAGAAAAGGCAATGAGAAAGAAGAAACTGAAGTAAAACCTCTTTCTGCTAGCTGCAAACCAGGGCAGAGCAGCCTGGTCCGGACAGGGGGGAAATTTCTTCAGAGGGGATCAAAGAAGTCAAAAATGTCCCAGACACTTGGCTGATGGGATCCTGGGGAATGGGACGGCTTGGAAAGCTCCTGCTGCCGGCACACTGGGGGCATGTGTCTGTCTGCTGGGCAAGAACAAATGCTTAAAAAATAAAATCCTTACATTTGTTCTTTTGAGATGTCCTCAGATTGCAAACCCCTCTCTCCCCCTTTTTTCCTACTTCCCAATTCCAGGAACACTACATGATCTGGATTATTTCAGGGACTGTGCCACTGGGGAGCAGTGCATGACCCCCACATGTGCTTCATCATAAGTGGTAGGCTTAGCAAGGGGTAAAGGAGGAGAGAGCTCAGGTGGCTTGAAGGTTTTGGGGGCAAAAAGAGGGAATTCATGCAAAAAGAATACAGGCCCGGATATGACATCCTGGCATCTACACGGCTGTTCCAGATTTATACCCTTGCAGCTGAGATCAGGCTCCAGCGTAGGAGGAGTGGGAGAAATGAAACAAAAATCAAAAAGTCAAACACTATTTTGTTTCCTGCCAGAGCTGAACAATCTCCAGAACTTCACTATGCGGGGAAGCAGCCGAGGGTTTCAAACCCCGCTGAAGGTTCAAAAAGGGGAGGCATTAAAAACTGAGGTAACATGATGGGACTCGGCAGAGGTTTGAGGATCCTGATGAGCCCCAGGGCATCCCTGCTGGGCTGGGAAATGAAGACAGCACTCGGAGCCCACCCAAGGGAGGGTGTTATGCAGGATGATGGACACGCCAGGCACCAGCACCTGGCCCCTGTGGTCTTTGCACCCAGGCGGAGCAGATTTGGGGTTGTGCCAAACCATCTCCAGAGACTGCGAGATCCCCTACACAGCACCAGCTTCTTCCCATCCCTAACAGACAGAAAAGTGACTCACACACCAGGTGATTTCAGCAGTTGTGCAGAATTTGGCTGCTTCTTATAACTACCTGTGGTGCATGTAGAGCTGCAGGGTTCATGGGAGGAAAGCTTCCACCTGTACATGTCAGCAGCACTCACACCTTGGCCCTTTCTTAACAACTTCAATCTGTTTCTAGCGATAAGCAAACAAAAGAAAAACAAAAACAAAACAAAACAAAACAAGGCATTTACAAGGCGAGCGGTGATAGGCCACGTCAGACACACACATCTGCCAGCAGCTGCAGTCCGGTTGGGTTCGGGTTTGGGAGGGGATTTACTGTGTTTGGCGGTTGGGTTCGGTTTTTCTGAGTTTTGGGGGTTTGTTTGTTTGTTTGAATTGTTTTGGTTTGTTTCACAACATACCTGTCCTGAGCCCCAAGTAGAATCCCCAGCCCGGTTAGAGGCAGAGCTTCCACTGTCTAGAAATAGAGAGAATGGGATAAAAATACCCACAAGTAGAAACAGTTCAGAATTTAACAAAGTTTGCATTTTCTGCTCAAATACACCTGGTCCTGGGCATACAGCGACTAAAGGTGCAGTATCTCCTCCCCTGCGGCCACGGGGCCGGGCATGCCGGCTGCTGCTCAAATCTCAGCAGCTCACTCCTTCCGAAAACCAACATGTGGCACAGGGGTTTCTAAGCTTGCTTCTCAAAACACACTTTGCTTCTAAACACCGAGGCGTGCCATTTGCCTACCCACTGCTTTTGCCACTCTTGTTTTGGTTTAGTTTATTTTGGGTAGGCAATTTGCATCTCTCATATCCATGCTGTGCTCAAACACATAATGTCATTGAGAAAGGAGTAACAGAGTCATCCTGGTGTACGAAAAAGCATTTGTCAAACCAAGAATAACAGCTTCTCCCAGTTCAGTGCATCCTACGTGCTGTGAGGTTTAACACACCAGGGATACTGCACCTTTACAACAGAAGGCTTCAATTCTGTTCTCATACCTTTGTTCAAACCCTTGAGACGGCTACACTGAAATAGCGTACAAGGTTGTATCCTGACATCCAGTTGTCTCTGGCCTGGCAAGATATGCAGCTTGTAAGATTTCTAGGCAGCAGAAGCTCTGAAATTGCCTTATTTAGTTGTTCGTAAGAAAACGTTCAGGTCCGGTCTATCAAATCAACCTTTAGAAGGACACTGTGGAGAATCCAGCCATTTCCTTTCAGACCCACCCTCCTTCCACCGCCAGCACTGAGCCTCCAGAAGGATTAAGAACAACAACAATCTCATTTTCCCCTGTTGATTTTGTCTCTGTCAGTTTGGCAAACGGTCGCTTCCTGCATTTGAAATGGAACCGAAATGAATGCGATTCTTTTTTTGTGGAAAAATAACAACTTCGGCTCACTATAAATAGCGTTTTATCTTCCCAAACCAGCTCTGCCTGGGGACCCGTGTCAGCCCCTGCTCCCAACTCAGCCCCGTGTGCTGCCTGCTGCCACCCAGCCAGGAGAGGGCTCACAAGATGACAGTTTTCAGTGAGATCGATCAAAACACAGTCAACAGCTGCTTTTTTGTACTTTAATTTGTCTGAGAAAAACAGTATCACCTAGATCCTCCGCTCTGTACCCTGCTCTCTGAGGCACCAAAGTAGACACCAAGTCCCTGTGACTGGGACTCTTCTCCCTTCGAAGGAGAAAATAATCTTCAAAATAAGATTTATGCCACAGCTGAGGACAGAAAAATCTTTGAACAGCATCCCTTTAACATATGTGATCCTAAATAAAGAGCTGCTTCCATGGATAATGAGGCTGCCAGGACAAGTTCTTTCAGATAAATCATATTTGGTCACAGGGCAGTGTGTAGATCACTTACCACTTCAAACAAAAGACAAAACTGTCATTTTGTTCTCCTCTAAATGGAACAGCAGCACGCTGTCCCACAAAGCTGGTGAGCTTTTTGCTTTTCTTTCTCTTCTTTATTATAAGCTTTATTTTGAAGGCAAGCATTGTCTTCCCTGCCTGCATTTTGCTTCTGCTTTTCAGGCACACAACAGCACCAAAAGTCATCACCATCCCACGACTCTAGCTGAGGTGTGGGCTGTCTATCTTCCCAAAACATTCCCTGGAGCAGAAGCAGGATTTTTCCGAGTGCACACAAACACCACAGGTGAGCAGCTGGAGACCCTGGGCTCACAGTTCTGGGGTTTATTTCAGTTTTTATTTTGAAACAAAGGGGAAAACTCATGGCTCCTGCTGCAGGATCAGCCCTGGCTGCACATTGCAGCAGCAGCATGGGGTAAAGGTGAGAGGGTGCCTAGATCTGCCCTGGAATGCCATGGAAAGGGGTTACCTGCTCCAGGAGAGGAAAAGCAGCACTGCATCCCTACCACAGCATGAGAGCCACGCACCTGCCCTGGGCCGGGGGAGGTTGTTCCCAAAGAGGAACTAGAACACACCACACTGGTGCAATGTGCTCCTGTACTCCATTCACACTAAGAACTACAACTATTTGGCAAGAAGTAAGGTGCCCACCTCTAACCACCACCGCCCCACATGGATGGACTGGCTGGATACAGTGTGCAAGGAGATGATCTTCCCCCACGTCTTCATTGACAGGGAATGAAAGTGAGCAAAAAGCCACCATCCATCCCAAGCTGAGCCTGGGAAGGATTTAGGAGGTCTCAAGTCCACACTCCTGCCCAGACCTAGGCTGACCCCAATAACAGACTGGGTCCCAGGGACCTTGCACAGTCCAGGCTTGCCCATCTTTAAGGATGGAGATCCCCCACCCAGGGCAAAATATTCCCCCTTGTGCCCCATTGCCATTCTCTTCAGCACCACTTCCAGCTGTCCCTGAAACTCCCCTCCTCCTGGAGGAACAAGTCCAATCTCCAACACTCTTCACATGCCTCCAGCATCCTGCCCCTGACATGCCAAACCCAAAACCGCATCCCACCAACAGCAGGGGCTTTATCCTGCTGTGTCAGGTGCCAGCCCCAGCTATAGCCGCAGCTGGGCTTGGATACAGCCTTTAGGCTAGTGCAAAACTTCTTTGCATATTAATGTCTAGATCTGGAAAGTTCATATTTTATTCTAGAGAGAGTGGTGAGAAGAGGAAGTACTGTAGAACAAAACCTAGGGAAGAACTGGGGGCAGGGGGGAGAAGTAGAGGTTTTAAATCCCTGCCCTGTCTTCAATAGATGGGCAGCCAGGGGTAGTGCAAGGGGGTTTTTTTAGCACCACAAAAAGCTGCACTAGATCCTCTGACAGTCTTTTGTGACTTCTGCTCTGACATTTAGAGCATGTAAAGGTCACTGTATTCCCAGGAGGAGGAAGGCACTAGCCCTGTTTAACAGCTACTGGGAGAGATGTTTGGGGTACAGGGGGACAGTCAAGGGAGCATGCCAGGAAGCCCTCAGAGGTAGAGGACCCCCTTCCTCACCAATGGCATGGGAAAGCAAGGAGCTGACAGTACTGCCCTTGTCTGTCAGAGGATTAATGCAGTGCTTGCTTTGGCAGCTGAAGGCAAAGGTTCCGCACCAAGCCACAAGATGAGATGATAGACTCAAGCCCTTGGCAATGTTCTAGTGTGCTTATCATTAAAAAGTTTGTTGATACATTTGGCTGCATGGACATTTTCTTTAGCATAAGTTTCTTTAGCATAATCTAGGATAAGTTCTGGGTAAATACACCTAACTACAAGCAGAGAGCATCTGCTCAGTGCTTTACACTTTATCTTCTGGAGCTCAGCATAACAACCCATGTTTTACTAGTGGACACTGGGAGACAGAAGCGTCAAGGCAGCAGAGCCACGAAGAGACCCACAGGGGAGATGTGGGTGCCGTGGGGGTGCACAGTGGGACCCAAATCCACAGCTATGGGTCTGTGACCTGGATGACTCCCAAGGCCCCATTGCAGCTCGAGCTCTCTGGGGAGTGCACTAATGTGTACCTACACACAGAGGGTTAACTGCTGTCCTGCTGCAATGGTCCTGTCTCATCCCTGTCTGCCTACACTGGGGATGAGCTCCCATGAGCTGGGACTAAAACCTGCTCCACAGGCAGCACTGGGGCACCTCATAAGATGCTGGACACAGACTGGACAAGCACTAGCCTGACACTGCCTTTCACCCAGCTCATCCTTGCCTGGACAAGGTCTGCCACTACAGCTACATTAATTCTTTTTTGCTTTCCACTGCATTTCATAACACGACCAGTCCAAACCAGCCATTAAAATGAATCCCTAGTGACAATCCTGATTTCAGTCAATGCGCTGCCACTGGAGAGCTTTTGATATTCTTGTCAAAGCAGTGACTAACTGCACTGCTTCTGTTTCTGTCACAGCAGCAAATCTGGGCTAGTTCTGCAGGCCCTACCAAAGAGCTCCTGTTGTCCCACTCTGCCTCTCCAGCAGCAGGTTAAACAGGCAGGGCCATGCCTGGGAGCATGTTCCTGCTAACACAAGTGAGGATCATGAGTGGCAGTCAACAGGGTGGGTAAAAAGGGGCCAAGACCAACTTCTGCTGCATCAGAATTCAGAAGGAAGGGCCTGGGGAATCAGAGCAGGATGCCAAGAGAAGCAATAGGAAGAGGCCTCCTTATAGTCATGGCTCTGATAAGCTATGACAGGCAGACAGCAATGCATAAGCTGGCAGCCATCAGCATGGACTTGCCAACATCCCTACTGAGGGCAGTGAGTTTTCCTCTTGTTTAATGGTCTCTTGACTTTCTGCTCCCAGACCTCTGGCCATTCCTTCCAAATTAGTCACCAACAGAAAGCACTCACATACAACATTCTACCCCCACTTACCTTTGGCTTCCAAAGCAGATAGAAAGCACACAATAGGCTCTGCATTGAGTACAGGGCTGAGGCAAGAATAGCAGTAAATAGGATTTACTGTAATTAAAGGACATGTCTCCTACCTTGCTTTGTGAGTTCTGTTCCCTTGAGGGCTGCTCATGGTGACAGTGGCATTTGAAAATGGTGTCTCTGTAGAGGTGTTGATGGCTTTGCCATTGCTCAGCTCCATATAAGTGCTGTTAATGGTGTAGGTCACACCACCATCAGTGTCCTCATAGTCAATATAAAGGCTGTCGATTTGCGACCCCATGGAGTTGATTGGGTCTCCCTGGGCAAAGATGCTGTTCATGGTCATGTTGAGCATCAGCTCCTTGGAGTCCGAGGTCTTGTCCAGCAGCTTGTCCGTGATGGCATTCTCCAAAAGGAATTCCCTGGAGGTGAACCTCGGGTCGAAGTCTCTGTCTCTATGGTCTGTCTGGTAAGTAGACCTGGTTACGTTTGAATCTAGATTGGAGCCAACAGGGGGAAAACAACAGTGACAACCACAAAGTGCATTCTGGCTGGGAGGCGAAAGCAGCCTGGAGCAGCAGGGACATGGCAGAGCCTGGGCAGCCCAGGGAGATAGAGGCAGGAGCTGGATTCTTGGGGAGGAGAAAACTCACGGCATTTTACCCCTTTGAGGAGAGGGTGCAGCTCCATGGGTTTTATCCTGCTATCGCATGGCCAGAAGAGAGCTCGGCACCTGCCAGCACTGTCCCATGCAATAGCAGTCAGAAAGGAAGATGCCCTCGTGGCCCCAGAGCCCATGCAGCCATGCCAGGAAAGTGCTCAAGGCAGTTTGGTGGTGGGATGCCCAAGGGACTGGACTAGGAAGGAGGTTGCTTGGCACCATGGAGAGGCAGGACGTGACAACAGATGTGACAGGGAGCTTTGTGCACCCAGGGCTCCCTCCTATCCTTGGCATGAGGCAAAGCACAGCAGGGCACCAGCGGGAAGACCTTACCCATGGCCACCCCCCACCCACCAGAAACCAGAACCTGAAGGGCAAAGAGGATTTGTGAGCAGAGATGTTTTGAAGAACTTTCCAAGATTTCCAAAAAAATGAACCAGCAGAATCACCAGAGGTAGAAACAGAGCGTTTCTCAACAAGAGCTCCAAGAAACACAACACTGAGGCCCAAGTCTCCTCCTTACCTTGGGGTTGTTTGCCCTTCAGTTTTAGCTCACAGTCAATTGTTTCTGCTCTTTCATAGACCTCATTGGTTTCCTGACCTTTGCTCAAGTTCAAATCTTCCTCCGTGTCCTGCCTTCCAAACACCTGGTTCTCCAAGTCTATCCTTTCCCTGGAGATTTTCCCAAAATAGGTTGCATTGTGCTGGATAAAGCCCAATGGCACATCTCCATCAAACTCTCTGCTTTCTTCACTGTCCGACTCAGAGAAGGCGTAGTAGATGGGCTGCAGATTTTTTGAGTGTGTTTTCCTCAGGAGGGTGTATTCAAATGTGATGGATGGACTCTTGCCATTTTGATTCCAGACCTAGCAAACAAATGATTAGCGGATGCAATGAGTGTATGGCATGCAAAGCTTGTGATTCATCTTGGACTTGACAGTTGGTAAGCACCTACTTTGCTTTTCCAATCTGCTTTCCATCATGTTTTTGCCAATAAAGCTTGGACGAGATAATCGCTGGGGTCGCCTCCAAACCTGGTATTCTATGCCTCTAGATTCATGTTGCCAACTTCTTACAACTGGAGCCCAGCACCATTTCCCAAGAGTTATTTGGCAGCACTGCCCCAGCACAGGGACAGGGAGCCACAGGTCATGCTTCCTCCTCCGAGCGGAGCGCCATGGGAGAGCCACTTGAAAGTTACTGACCATCACCTGCAAATCCATTTGTGGCTGTTGGGGATGGGCACTTGCAGATGATGCACTACCACCTCTCCCTGGTCTTACGTTTTATAAGCACCCAAGCATCCCTCCTTTCCTGTTCCAGAGGAGCCTGGGGCTACATGGAGATGGTGCTGCCCAGAAGAAAGTGAAATGACTTTTCTCTGTATGCCTGATTTTAGATGGTTTGCTTTCAATAAAGAGTTGGGGCTTAAGTTTTGTGCACTTGTCTAAGCTGTCTGGCCCAATTTCTCATTTTTACTTTTTCTGCCAGGTAACTTGGATAAAAATGCCAAGGAATAGAAGAGAAATCCTCCGGCTGTGCCTGAGGCATCTTCACGCTGCAGAGAGGGGAGTTATCAAACCCACGTTCGTTACTCACAGCCCTGCCTGCACCTGAGAGCACTGATGCAAATAAAATAAGAACCAGGCACAGTCCTCACTCCCACACCCCTCCTCAAGCTGCCCCATGCCCACCCCTTCCTCAATCTAATATAGATTTTCCCTTCCCCATCACCTCCAGCATTGCTAACTTGAAAAGTCAAAGCTCACCATTATATTCAACCCTTGATTTGTTGGTCCTTGTGCAACAATATATTCTATGCCAGTCTCATAAACATCCATGGGCCTCCGGTACTTGAACACTGTGCCTGCAATGTTGAAGTTCTTTGGACTGTCAACTTTGTAGTTCCCATTGAAGAAATAGTACCCAGCTTCATCAGCCACAGCTTCCAACAGAGAGAAAACAACAATCAGTGCCATCACATGGCAAGATTAATGCAATAGTGCATTCTGGTCATGCATCCCTCTACAACGCAAGCTTCTGTATATGGACGTGGCTTACACTAGTCCATGGCTCCTCTCACCCTTTTGGCACTAGCACAGCATGAACATCCAATAATCACAGCTCTGCAGACAGCAAGACTGTCAGCTGGCCAACAGCAGGAGCTGCCTCCTTGGGAGCACTGAGCTGATGCCACCTGACCCAGCAGTGACCCAAGGCAGACCATCCAGAACTAGCCCAGGAACTGTACTAAATCCTCCTGTTCCATTCAAGTCTCCCTCTCCCTGCACATGGCCACATGAGGCTGCAGAGCACGATGGCTTCTGCCAAGCGAGCAACTGTTCTTCTCCTGGACAAGTCCAGACTTTCCACACTTGTCCCAGGCAGCTCCACCATCTCCATTGCGAGATGGATGGTGTGGCCACCAACACTTCAGCAAGGCAACACATAGGCTGCCTCTCCCTGGTGCTGTTGTCATGTGGCCATTGCACATTCCCCAAGCAGAAGATCAAGGAGACCACAAAAGAGGTGAAATCACTTGGCTATCCGTGACCCGCACCAGCATGTTTGTCACACCACACTGAAGCAGCAGTGATATTGACCAACAGTTTCTGCATTAAAGCCACCACAGTGGTGATATATGCAGACCAGGTGCTCAGACTGCAGGAAGGAGAAATGCACTGGCTTAGACAATGTGCTGTGATTTACACCGACATGGATTTAGCTCATGTCTGCAATAAAACTACATTCTGTCTCACATTGGAAAAAGCATTAGCTAGTATAGGCACACATGCTAGGGAAGTACCAAGAGGTTATACACACCCAGAACATCTGCAGACTTTTTCCGTTCTACTATCTGGATATCCCTTGCTCCAGCAGGACTGTGTGTTACCAGGGAATAGCCTACGGGAAACTACAGATTAATGATAGGAACTTTGTAACAGATACTCTGAACAACACACTCTGAAGTCAATACTGCAACTATCGAGCACACTGGCCTTCATCTACAATTATTTTAATAAGTGGTGGATTAGAAACCTAATATTGATAATTTAGGCTGCAAACAGAACCTCAGCAATAATAGAGAAATGTGTGAACTGCACGTCCTGGCTTATGGTGGAAAAATACAACCAATTAGGGGAAAGGATGTAATCGTTACAGGCACAGATACCGCATTTATCTAAACTGGTGCAAGGAAATAGACCTGAAGACTGCTTTGTTGCTAAGGAAGCAGTCCTGTGGTTCAGTATTGAACCCTGTGCTAGCCAGTCTTCCCAAAACCCCAGCAAGAGATTACAACTCTGAGGCTCCTTAGCACTAGGTAAAGTGATGGTACAAGTCCTACCAAGGCCACTGAAGTTCCTGAAGCTGGCTCCATTTTAAACTGATCCTTAGAGAGCATTGATCATTATTCCCAAGTCAGACTGCAGCATTTAGGACAAGTAGGTTCTGTTGCTTTACATCTCACTAATTTTGGAAATCCTGGTCTTTCAAAATATCCCCTCTTCCTGTTAGTACACATCATTTCTTTCTAGTCTTACTGGGTCATGAGAAAGACTAAAACAGATGCCAGCCTCTTGCATAACCCTTGTCACCATTCAGCATCAGACCTCAGGCTTCTGACAAGCACCAAGCAGAGTTACTGGTTTTCTTTAAGGAACGCTTTCCGTGCCCAAATTACAAGTGGCATTAATACCCCTAGAACATGAGAGCTGAAGCAGGCAGCTGATAACAGCTGAAAGCAATTTACAAAGAGGTAAGTTGATTTAAAAAATAGCCCTCTGATTCAAATAAAGCAAAAGGTCCCCAACAGCCTTACCCAAATGAGCATTTCCTTTCCTGTAACTGCCGGTGACGTGAGTGCAGCTGCTCCCATCTCCTTGGCAAACTCCACATTTATCCAAGGTGTGGGTGGAAAAGAGAATGCCATCGCATCCAATCGGCTACAACCGCACAGAGTATTGAGGGTCAGGCAAATGTCGCACCCACTGTAGCTTTCTGAATGCTACTAACAATATTTTTGCTATAATGTTTAACAACCTCACATTTTCCAGACACGCAAACCCCTCGGAAATCAGTGTATTTGCAGGATGTTCCATCCCGAGCCTGAACCATTAACTGTCTCTGACCATCCACGGTGGTGCAATGGAGGTCACAGGGCTTGCTAGAAATGTGAACATAGTCATCTAAGGGGAAAGGATATAAAGATACATTCAAAACAACAGAAACACAGAAGCTTTCATCCTACCAATGTCAATGAATCTCTGTCAAACTAAACAACAGCAGCACAACTACACAGCAGCCAGCAAGCAGAAGCCACCATCTCCTGTGTTCTAGACTGGACAGGACACAGCACTTCTGACAGTGTGGCAGCCCACTGCTGCAAACCTCTGCACAGCCAGGCAGTCCTCTGCTGCCAGGAGCAGATGCCCTTCCTGATGCTAGAGGTACCACTAACATCAGCCCAGGGATGCACTGAAGCATCAGCTGCCACTGTTCTGTGCAAGGACTTGCAGCAGTGATGTATGTACACACTACACAAAAACATATGCATGCTCACATATCAACATCTAATACATGAGTTAAATTAACATAGATATATAGATACACATACAAGTAAGACTATACTCAAACCCATAGCAGCTTAAAACATAAGAACTTTTCATAAACATTCACCCAAGCTGGGCTTCAGTCACCCTTTGCTTTCTGCAGGCAACTGGCTGGCTGCACCCATCGGCAATATCCACAGGAAGCAAATGACAAATTCATATATGCATCAGAAGCCCAGCGCTAAGTGTTGAACTCCAGCTAGTGAGCAGCATAACCCCACTGGCCTGTGTGCCCAAGCAAGACACCATCAGTGTCAAAACCTGACTCTGCAAATCCCCCAGGAGCCACGTGAACGCCTGCTAAAACACAAAACAATTCACTGTAACTGTTCTGGTGAATCATCTCAAAGAGCAAGTGTGTTTAAAGAAATTGTCACCTTGCCATAGGAAAGGGACAAAAGCAGCCAAGTAGCCACAGCTAACCAGGCTGCCACAAGCCAAGCCCTACCATGCTGACCCTGCCAAAAAGGTTGGTGGGACAGGGTCTTGTTTCACACAGGAGGCAACAAGGAAGTTAATGAAGCATAATTTTGTTCTTCAGTATCTACAGAGATCCCCACAATAAGTCACATTAGATCCCATCTCTATTTTTAGACACCCAAATAGCACTGTGAATCTGAAGAACAAGCACTGGGGAGCCACCTTCTTGGGAGCAGGATCCAGGATTCCCAACGGCTCTAAAAATTTGCCATGATTTTTTTAGTGCTCAATTTTGATGGGAGTTATGTGCCTAAAAATTAAAGAGACCTCACTCTGACCCCTAAGAGCTTTCTGCAGTTCTGTGCTGCTCACCCAGGTGACCAAGGCGACTGACTGCATCTCAGTGACACCTGCAGAGCACATGAAGGGTATGGAATGATCAAGTGTCACCAAAACGCAAGACAGCCAGCAATGGCCCCAGCTCTAAGGACACGTGTTCGGGTGAGCCAGACTCTCCCTGCCAGCGCAGTCCATCACCCCATGCTCTCACATCCTCCTTCAGCCTTTCAGCTCTCTGGTCCTCAAGGGATGTGACCTACACAGGCTACAGCCACAAATTCATGTTGTTATGTTATTTTTAAGCTACACTGCAGCTGCAAAATGTGCCTTTGAGCTTGGGAGACAGTTGATTGTGTCTCTGAAAAATCACTTTAAAACAGCAGAGGAGGAGCCTTCCTGCAGGCTATAGCATCATAACTATCAAAATATTTGGCTAAGCATTATGAAACACACAAAGAATGTCTTGTTACCAGGATATAAAGGTTTCCATTGATATGTTCTGCCGTTATACACATGGGAGTTAAATGATGAACACTGCTCCTCTCGAAAGCTCCTTCCGTTTGCAGGGCACTCCTAGAACGGGATACATTAATATCCTGATGAAAACAAAGTGCGGGAAAGGTTTCTGGCACATCTTAACTGGCTGCAAGGAGTGTTTCCATTGCCTGCCCCATCCAGAGCCACATTCTCCTCCTCCTCCCACTGCAGGGACAGCCAGGGGAAACCCTCACGGGAGACAGTAGAAGAACCACCCACTGGGTTTTATGGCCCCCAGTGCAGGCAAAAGGCCAAAAGCCCTGACACAATGGGGATGGGCACCAAAGAAGGGAAATTCAGTTGCTTGGAGGGGCAATATGGTGACTGCTATGGGACGAATGGTGTCCCCTGAGGGGCCTAGAAATGCCACTGCATGAAGCAAGCATGACTTTCCACATTCTGTATTGAGTGTTCCCAGTGAGAAAAAGGATATCCTTACTTGTACTTTGCAGAGCTGGTATCTTTTGGATGTTCCAGTGCAAGTTTTATTAGCCAGCCCACTCGCTGACTTTCTTCTGAATAAAGAAATGACGGTTAGAATAGGATCAGAAACCCTTCTTCCCCCTTGTTTAAATGTACTTGTCTCTGCTTCTGCAAGATCAGTCTCCATGCAGCAGAACCACACAGGGATCTATTACAGTCTCACGGGAGTTGGTAGAAAAGGTCACTTTGGCTTTGTTACCTGCAACATCCACTATTCGTATTACAGTATCCTAGGAGGGATCATGGGGATGGGGATGAGGTTTGCAAAGTGCCTTCTGGCAACCACACAGCCTGGAGAGGGCAGAGCCACACACTGAGCAGCTGGGATCAGGAGGTCCCCAACCAACCCTGCACCACAGTGTCCCCACTGTTGTACCCAGAAGCCTTGGGAGCGGGCTTACACCACATCTGCTGCCCACCTCCACTAATCCCCACACGAGAAACTTCAGGGCCAGAACAGGAATAGCTCAGCTGGTCCTCCTGGCAGGGATGCCCAGGGCACAGCATCCTCACAGCAGCGCGCTCAGGGCCGTGCCCACCTTCCACATGAGCAGCATTCGACAGACAGCACCTTTTCACCAGTGCTCATCTCCTGAGCAATGACGTCCCAGATGAAGCCACCCCCAGGCAGCTGGAGCTCCCTACCCCCGGGGACCGGGGCCATACCTCTGCCGCAGGCAGTGCCGCTCCTGGGACTTGACGCCCCCCCCGCAGGTCCTGGTGCACGCCGTCCACTTGGTCCACTCCCCCCACCAGTACGCGGTGACGTCTGCCCCTTCCTCCAGGCTGTTGGAGGTCTGCACCAGGTCCTGCTTGGAGCATCCGGTGGGTGGGGAGAGCAGCAGCAGTCAGCACCCGCACCACAGGGGTGGAAGGAGGGCATGCCCCCTCCAGCCCACCCCGAGCAACCGGGCATTTCCCTCTCCATCTGAGGTCAAGTTTGAGATTTCCATCTTGCAAGAAACCCTGCATTTTTCCAATTGTGTTTTCATTACAAATTGGAATGAAATGGCAATATTTGGGATTCCTCAGGAAAGGAAATGTTTATTGTTTCTCTCAATTGACAAATCCAAGCTCACAAACAACCCTGAACCCTCCAAGTCTTTTGGTGCTCCCTGACTCCTGCTCCATAGCGAATTCAGGGAGCTGAAGAGCCACTTGCAGCCAAAACCTTCACTGAAAGCTTCAGCAAACCCTTGCAAATCCACTCTGGAGCAGGAGAGCATGTCAGTGGATGCTAGCAGGTTGACAGAGCCCATGTCCTCTCTTTGCAAGGACAAGTTTGCCACTTCAGGAGGGTCCTTGACACCCCCACCCCTCAGCCACTGTGGGCAGCAGCATGACCATGCAGAGGGAAAGGAGCTGCTCCACCAGCAGTGTCACCACCACATGCCTGCGCTCAGCAAGGTGTTGGCATCCCTTTGCCAGGGCACAGAATCTCTGTGCGGGGATCCCAGCTATTCCTTATTGTGAGAGGAGGGACCGAGGAAGCAGTGCTCATCCAAGAATGCGCATGGCCTTACAGAGCCCTGGAAATGGCCTGTGCATGCTCTTAGCCACAGAAGGTACAACAGAGGTTAAGCCGAGATCAAAGAGCTAAGCCAAGTCGTACATCCTCATGCACAGTGGAGGCCTGATGCATGCACAGACCAGTCCTGCAAGTCCCAGGGGTTACCCATCCCAGACACACCATTTTAAAACCCAGAGACCTCCCAGCAAGGCAGTGCACTTACCTGAGCTATCACAAAGGCAACATTACCCACAAAGAGAAGGGCCAGGATGCCTTTCAGCTGGGATCGTGTGCTGATGGAGATGCTGCTCCACCTCCACTTAGATATCTTCATCCTAGAAAGCACCAAACACCACACTAAGAAGAGCTCTCATCCAGCCCCACAGCCTGTCAAGAGCAGGAGGGTTGCGCAGCACACATCCTCTTCAGCATTCCCAGTTAGCTAAGTGACACCAGCCACCACTGGCTGCAGGGGCTTGATCCTGAAGTTATATTTAATCACTGGAAGCATTAACACAGTACAAGCCCACATCCCACCTCAGCTGCCATCTTCCAAACCACAACTTTGCACTGGTTCCCAGTGGCTGCACCTCGTAGCACCAGTGTGAGCTGGAGCTCTAAGCCTGTCTAGGACAGGAGCATGGCTTATACAGAAGCAAGCACTGCACGAGAGGGAGTGAGTAACAAGAAGTGTCCCTGGATCTATAGCAGCAATGCATCTTAATATGCCATTTACAGAACTGCTCCTACAACAGCGAGATGAAAAGCTTCATAAAAGAAATAACCCAATTAGCCAATATTTTTCCTTTTTTCATTTGTTCACTCCGATTCCCATCTATTCCCAGGGAAGAAGCCTGTTCTTATAGAAGAGAAACCACCTGCAATTAAAGAGCAGAAATGAAGTATCCCAGGTGTCAGCCTTTCATCTCTTTCTCCATCCGCCTCATGAAAGAGTAACCCAGGATAGCATTTTCTTAAATAAAACTCAGCTCAGAACCACAATATGTTTTATTATGAACCTCACTGCAAGAGCCAGAAAGGAGCAGGTTTCAGGAAATCAAGCTTCCAGGCAATCAAAGCAGCTCATGTCTATAAGTCAAAAAATAAAAGTGTTCTCCCTAAGCTAATGCCCCTTGAAAAGTCACTAGACAGAATCTTTGGGAAGTAGGGAGCTGGAAGAGGTGCTGCAGACCTGCGACAACGCAAAGAGCTTCTTTCCTACCGCTTTTTCTTCTTGTAAGGGCTTTTGTAGCAGTTTAGAAATGCAGACTTGCAGGCAGTGCCAGCACGGCTGGGGTACGGGGCTTACAGACATCGGCAGAGGGCTGCCAGGTCCTACCTCGGCTTCGCGGCCGCCCCCGGGAAGAGGGTCCAGCACAGAATCACAAACTGGCTAGGTTGGAAAAGCCCTTCACATGCGAGAGACCCTTTCCAAGAGGCAGATGCACGGATTGATGGGAGCGCTGCGCGCTTGGCCGGGGATCCCGGGACAGGTGGCTGCGACTTGCCTTACACTTGGTTCTCATTAAGGCTCCCAGACACGTCTGACTCGAAGCCAG